CCACACATCCCTGCTCCATCCCAGTGTCCACTCCACACATCCCTGCTCCATCCCAGTGTCCACTCCACACATCCCTGCTCCATCCCAGTGTCCACTCCACACATCCCTGCTCCATCCCAGTGTCCACTCCACTCATCCCTGCTCCATCCCAGTCCTTCCTCTCCTGGGGCTGCAAACCTGCTTTGGTGATTTGCTTCCTGAGCCACCCGTGGCCCGGAGACTTGTGCAACAGGAAAACTTGTATTAATTCATCCAACAGATCACTCAGGAAACGTTTCTTACCTTTAACATTTCAACTTGGTTTCCAAGTCCCTTTGTGCACAGTTCCATGACTGAATAGGAACAGAAAGTGTCCCTTATTTTATACTGGCTGACAGTAGATAACCAGAGAAAAAGGTTGGATTCCAGCTCCATAGGAGGAATTAAAATTGACTGGTGTCCAGAATACACGCTGGGAAGAACATAAAGGAAGAAAACATCTTTGTGCAGCTCGTAGTTATCTTTAAATTAATATTTACTGTATTAGCACGTTATGTTCCTGCTACACCAAAAGCAGGCTGTGGGACTCTGCAGCTGAGGCAAACTGGAGCAGCAGCATTTGAAAAATGCAACTTACTGTACAAGAATAACAGTCTGTGCACACACACAAACGTGCCCAAACACTGTCAGTGAGGGAACAGAACTGGCTCAGCCCCACACAGAACAAAAACCTCCCTTATTGCAACACGTAATCAAGGAAGAAAGGGAAAAGAAACATTCTGGAGCCAGGGGCATTTGGAGGCACAAACAAACATAATCGAGATGGGATAATCTGCAGGAAAAGGGAAGGTGGTGCTGTGAGTTCAAAGACAAATCCCCCCCCACACTGTAAACCAGTCACTGTGGTCATGTCAACACGTCTGGAATTACACCCAGAGGGACCCATTTCCAGAGGGACAGAGTTAATCTGCCCCTTTCCCCCCACAAAAAGAAAAAAGTCCTACCTGCAAAGGCACCAGAGCACGAATCCCAGCCCGCAGTAGGGGTCGAGGCAGATGGCAATCTGCCGGGAGGAGTAGAGCTCACACTGCAGCTTGATGGCCCTGCACAGGCCACTGACAGCAGCATGGGACATCTGCAACACAGGGGGACATCAGGGGACATCAGCAACACAGGAGACAATAGGGGACATCTGCAACACAGGGGGACATCAGGGGACATCAGCAACACAGGGGACAACGGGGGACATCAGCAACACAGGGGACAACAGGGGACATCAGCAACACAGGAGACAACAGGGGACATCAGCAACACAGGGGACATCAGGGGACATCAGCAACACAGGGGACAACAGCAACACAGGGGACAACAGGGGACATCAGCAACACAGGGGACAACAGGGGACATCAGCAACACAGGGGGACATCAGGGGACATCAGCAACACAGGAGACAACAGGGGACATCAGCAACACAGGAGACAACAGGGGACATCAGCAACACAGGGGACAGCAGGGGACATCAGCAACACAGGGGACAACAGGGGACATCAGCAACAGGGGACATCTGCAACACAGGAGACATCAGGGGACATCTGCAACACAGGGGGACATCAGGGGACATCAGCAACACAGGGGGCAACAGGGGACATCAGCAACACAGGGGGCAACAGGGGACATCAGCAACACAGGGGACAGCAGCACCACAGGGGTGTCAGAGACTGAAACAGTTCATGATTTGTGCATTCTAGGATTGCCAAGGGACTTTTCCAGGCTTCTGCAGGACCTTTGCATTGTACCTCTGATGGCCCCTTGTACCTCTGATGGCCCATCAAAGCCCGTCCCCCCCCTCTGCCAATCTCGAAAGGCAGGAAAAACCCTTTTGCCAGGCCCCTCACGGGAACTCAGCACAGACCCAGGAGATGTTGGAGGCTCCTGGCATGGCCTGGGACATCTTTTCTTTCCCTTACTCTCCCTTCCCCTTATCCTGTCTTTCCTTTCTCTCCCTTGTGCATTTTCCCCCCAGGGGTTATCCCTGTGACAGATGACATAGATGACAACACCCAAAATGCTGACACACCTGTTCAAACAAAACTGTTAAAATGAACCCTGCCTATATGCTTTTAAAATAAACCCTACCTAGATATGTTTTCAGACACCGATTATTCGGTGTGGTTTCACTCTAATCCACCCCAAGGGAATTATTGATAAGAACCTGGGTTACTCCCCCCCTTTTTTCTGGGTTGTAACAAGGGGACATCAGCAACACAAGGGGACATCAACAACACAAGGGGACATCAGCAACACAAGGGGACATCAGCAACACAGGGGACATCTGAGACACAGGGGACATCAACAACACAAGGGGACATCAGCCCAGGGGAGAGGTGCTTTCTGCAGGAGCCTTTGAGCCCCAGTGACCAGGAGCAGAGACACCAACAGTTAAAGCTGCAGGGGTTGAAGTTCCACCTCAACTCAAGGAAGAACTTCCCATGAGGGTGGCAGAGCCCTGGAACAGCTGCCCAGGGAGGCTGTGGAGTTCCCCCCTCTCTGGAGACATTCAAAGCCCCCTCTGGATGTGTTCCTGTGTCACCTGCTCCAGGTGACCCTGTCTGGGCACTGGGGGATCTCCAGAGGTCCCTTCCAACCCCAGCTCTCCTGGGATCCAGGCATCCCTGACTCCAAACACACCTGAGCATTAAGGGCAGTCTAAAGCTTTCAGTTTTAGCTTCTTATCTTCCTTTTTTTGCCAGCTGCACCCCTGTTCTGGTCCTGGTGGGGTAAAGCAGGAGCTCAGAGCTCTGCTGCTCTCCCAACAGGCAGCTCTCCAGAGGGAGGCAGCAGCAGAATTCCTGATCCCACCCTTGAGACCTGTTTTCCTCCACTGCAGGACTAACTCAGTGAACTAAAATCCTCAGCCTTGTTAGAAGGAAACCAGGGTCTTTATTTAAGCTACAAGGACCAGCTTTGGTGGGGGTCAAGGGAAGCTGGCTCAGAATATCAGCCAGAGACATCTCCTACCCCGTTACTATACCTTTACTCCTGTGAGCATGCCCGTTGTGGAGACACTAAAATCTAGATATGCCAACATTTCAGGCGTGGGTGGCTTGTAGATCTGGGCCAGTCTCTTCCTGGGCAAGTCATCTGTGCAAGAGAGGAACAAACAGGTTAGTTTTGGTTCCTGAACTGCTATTTGAAAGGAGAACACAACTTTCAAAAAGCCAGAGAGGGAGGGAAAAAGCTTTCTATTAATTCTCTTTCCAAAAGAGACAGACTGGTGCATGGCAGGAGTGTTGCCAAAGCTCCCACGTAGGAATTTATTTATTCTCAGGAAAAGGGAGAAAAGACCAACTTGCCCTTGAATTAAGGAGATGGAAGTTGGCTGCAGCAAGGCTGGTCTGTACAGCCATTTTCCATGCACAGCTCAACAAATGCTCCCAGTGAACAAGGTCACAATTAGATTCCACCTTGGACAGCTTTGGTAAATATTCAAGCAAATTCTCCAGAGGCAAACGGGGGGACAGTCCCTCTGGAAGTCACCGGTCACCCCTTCACACAAGTCCCAGAAGCCTTTTTGCCCCACCTGTGTCGATGATGGTTGGCCAGGTTTTCACATCCACAGCTCCAGCTGCCTCCCTGGACTTGAGCAGCCTCATCAGGGTCTGGGTTGTGAGGATACAGGCGGCTTTGCTGACCTGCAGAGAAAACACTCACTGCAAAAAAGAGACGAAAACCTGGCCCGGCAGCACTGCCACTGCAAGGCTTGTTCAGGGACTGTTTTATCACCTGCAGCCAGTTCCCCTCAGCAAACTTGAACTCCCTTCTCTGCCCTTTTGCACACCCTGCTCTGCTTTTCCTTCACTAAACCCCCAGTGCAGCCCAACCCGCCCAGGACCTGCCAGAGCCTTCCGGGCAGGCGAGAACGCGGCACAGCCACATCCAGCCTTCTCCCAGGGGGGGACTCTCCCCCGTCCAGCTGTGGAGGGCAGTGACTGAGCAGCTCTGGGTGGGTGCCTGGCACCCAGGCAGGGTGTCCCCAGTGCCCCAGCCCCTCCTTGCTCACCTCCACGATCATCCTCACGGTGGGCAGGGTGGCGGTGAGGCTCTGGGCGTGGGGCGGGCGCACGGTGACGGGCACACAGCCGGCGTACAGGCAGCCATAGAAGGCTGTGATGAGCTCAATGCCTGCAAGGACAGGGCAGCTGGAGCAGGGGACATGGGGAGGGACACCCTGGGGACACCCTGGGCACTGCTGCTCCTCCAGGAGTTCCTTCCTGCTGGGTAAGGGGGACGCTCCCACGGCGCGGATGCACACCAAGGGCAGGAAGTTTGGGATAGGGGATTGGGAAGGTAAAGCACAGAAAAATCATCTCCATTGTACAGGAAAAGGACATCTCGAGTGTCAGCTGACTCAAAAGGCAGTCAGGACATGGAGCAGTGCCTGGCAGGGCTGTAAATACACACTGGTGACCAACTCACACCAGCAGCCAGTGTCTGTCCTGGATTTCCATATCCCAGTGAGAAACCAAAGAAAGCCCAGGCTGCACTGGGTCCCAGTGGGACCCAGCCATTCCCAAAACCCACTCACCAGGAGGATAAAGAAGCACCACATTGTCTCCTGCATTGAGATGTCCTTTGTCACAGAGCACTGACGCGATCCTCTCGGCCTTCTTGTGCAGCTGAAGGCAGGTGGCCGTGCACACAGTGGTTCCCTTGAAAGGACACAGAAATGCTCGAAACGGGGGCTGGCACAACCCCAACTGGCTGCTGTGAGATCAAACCAAGCTTGCTGGGCTAGCAGGAGGCTACAGCTACGAGTTATCTCTACCTAAAGGCTGCTGGTGCTCAGTGAGCCGCTTATCCACTACGGTATCAAAGGACAGAGATGGAGTTAGATCTGCTCTAGAAAATTCTACCTTCCAGGGAGTCAAGTTCAGGTCTTCTTGCACCAGAACCTTGCCAGAATATACTCAACAGGGATACACCATTAACTGATACAGGAACCAGTGGGACCTACAAACAGGCTCAGTTTGAAAATGAAGCCTCGAACCGTGAGAGTCGTTCGCTGAAGGGACCTACAGGGTCAAAGGGTCAAGTTTTGAGTTACAAACCTATGGGCAATGGCTGATACAGAGACTAAAGAGAGGCACTGCAGAGGGCAGAAGGTTTTAGAGACAGTCTCAAACTGGCACTGAATGAATAACACGTGGGCCTTGAAATCCAAGAGCTCAGCACTGACCGTACCTTGGCGTTCAGCAAAAGGAAGAGTGGGTGGTCAGGAGTGGCTTGAGCTCTCCACTGCAACACCTCTGTCAGGAACTGGTGCTGGAAGAGACAGGCAGGAATTCAACACCATCCAGAGCTGCTGCTCTGCACCCAGCTGGAGGGGAAATCCCCTTCCCCAGCTCTGCTCAGCGCTGATTTACCTTTTTAACTAAATCGTTGTCTTCCAGCTGGCCCAGGTCTCTCCCCGAGGCCTGAGCGATTCGCTTCCCAGCAACCAGGTTCCCCACCATCACAGAGGCAGGGCCCACGCCTGAGGAGAGAGAACATCCTGGAATGGGCACTTTGGGAAAGCAGAGGGAAGGTACAAAGAGTGTCTGCAGGATCCCACTGCTCCCGGGCACGGATGCAGGAGGAGAGGGAATGAAACCTCACTGAGGGAGTTCAGCAGGCACTGCTGGTCTCTGCTCCCAGTGAGTTCAAAGGTAGGAATCAAAATTCCTGACTAACACATGCAAAGGAGAGGCCTCAAACACGCCCCAGCCACAGGGCACGAGACAGGCTCTGGTCCCACAGGGAATGGGACACGGAGTGGGACACGGGGTGGGACACGTCACCCCCTTCCTGGGGCTGAGCCTCAGCTCACCGACACCAAAAGGGCCCCAAAAGGGGCTCAGGTTACCTGGCTGTTTCTGCCTGGGCTTTGGCAAGTTTGTCACACAGGTGTGTGGGCACATGAGGATGTTGCAGGGGTGCAGAGAGCCCTCCAGAAAGTGCTGTTTGGTTTGTGAGATGTGGATCCCTCCCAGCGGAGTTTTTGGCAATGTGTTGGCTGGCACGAGAGCAAGGCAGTACACACCCACTTGGTGAATGCTGTCAATGGCCTGCAGAGAGGAGAGATGGTCACTGCAGCTCCTGCTGCTGCTGTTGCTGACTGCACTGGCACTGCAGGGCAAACCCCTGGATTTCTGAGGTGCTGGAGGAGCGAGTCAGTCACTGACATCCCGTTTCACCCCTGTACCACCAGCCAGCCCTGCAGGGAGAGCCCCAAGTGCTGGCACATCCCTGCCTTTAGAGCCCATTCCACGGGCACCAAATCCATTTTTAAATCTTCCATGACCAAAAATCCCAAAATACCCACAGTTGCCTGATGAATCACAGGATTCTGATCTCGGGATTGTATCCATCTGCCTCCTCTGAACCACCACACTCTGTTCCTTTCTGCCCACCTCAGCATCCAGGCATCTGATCCATTATTCACAGCACCAGGTACTTCCCTCATTTCCCTCCCCAGCTTGCACACTTCACACCCTGAGTGTCGTTCCCAGGAAGGACACACATGCAGCTCTCAGAGGAAGTATTTGCTACTCATTCTGCTTTTAGGACCACACTCATTCAGCTGCTTTAACCTTCCTCTGCTCACTGTCTCCCTGCTGAAAATGCAGCTCCAGAGGCCAGGGCGGCTTTAAAGCCAAACTCTGAGCTCCTCAGGATCCAGACTAAAAGCAGAACTCCAAAGCTTGAGCACAGATCTGCTCAGCAGTGCTGAGGGAACTGTTCCTCCAGGTTGGAAAGGACCTTAAATTCATTCCATTCCCCCCCTGCCATGGGCAGGGACACCTCCCACCAGCCCAGGTTGCTCCAACCTGGCCTTGGACACTTCCAGGGATCCAGGGGCAGCCA